TTCACTGGTTTACAGTTTTGGATCTGTAGAGTAAAGCCTCATTCACACTTCGCTTTGCGTAAGGGAAACACATCACAACGGCCGTTTGCGGCGAGAAAGTTGACTTGATCTTGAGTTGAGTTACTTGTTTGGTCCATCGCGCGACCTTCGCCTGTGCGCATTGCGTTCATGAAATTGCCTAAGTCTGTTGTGAGTTATCTTGAATCCGTATACATTTCGCCGTATTAGTACCATCCGTTCCATAAAAATGCTGGTTCTTGTAATGTCATGCACCATAAAATGACATCTGTTCTATGACCGTAATCATTTGCCCACCATATCTTCTACATTTAGTGAGATGTTGCCTGGGGCTGCTGCACTGTATGCATGCAGTTGTAGTTCCCACCGCCTTGATGCTGGCGGCATATTCAACATGACATGTATGCATTGTATGCACGCCTATGGATTCATCAGCGGCCGTTCTAAGCGGTATATATTCAGCGATATACCCCGCTCGGTTCACATGGGTCACTTCGAGAATAAGGAAACTTTAAGCCTAGTTCGCATTCGACGTAACGCTGACGGTATGGAACGTAAGGGCCTGTTGGGACGGCCGGGGTGAGCTGTAAAATCTTGTACGATTCGTAAGACACAATATGTAGTTTGACACGACATGCAGCAGCTATTGCGAATTTCAAGAAGTGACACGAAATCTTATCTTCCTAAAATTTGAATCAGTTGTGCTAGCCATTTGGCGAGTTATCATGGGAAGCGTAGTGTTGACCGTGTTCGAAATGTTTAAAAAACCTAAGTGTGCTGTTGTGCGCATCGGGAGGGGTCAGCGCACGACACATCCCCTGTTCACACTAGAATGCAGTTGTTTTGTACGCTTGCGTCCTCGTCTACGGTCTGAAAAGTTGAACTGACCAACTCTTCCCCTTGCTTCCCAATATGTAGGGTGGAACGGTTACGTTCCCGTTCCTGGTGTTCACATTGGACGCTGTCTGTCGGCGTCATAACCGTTCCGTCGGTTCCCGTCAATCCTTACGTCGCGTCCCGTTGCGCCCCGTCGAATGTGAGCTAAGCGGCTTTCGTGTTGGTCACACTCTGTATTTAGGAAAGTACCATGCAAATGGATTATACCATTCGTACTCTGTGTATACCGAGTCCCCCAATTGTCCCTCGTCCTAACGCACTCTCGAAAGTAATCGCGGTATACCCCTCATACTCATGGTATCATGATCATCCATACCTAATATATATAATCAGTATCATCTGCTGTTTGTTTTCCATTGCAGGTTAACGTCTCAATCAAGCATCGTCATCAAAACTTTGCACAGAAGAGTGTCAGCGGTGTCGGTCATCCTCTGGGATCCTCTTTCTGTTATTACTGAAGCTCAATTCCCAATACATGAACTGCTTTCCACGATGCGCAACATGCAACATCTGCAATGAGCTGCAACCGCGACAGATGATTCACAATCTGTTTTGCTTCTGCGACATCTAAGTGCAGGGCGTAGTACCCTCACGTGCACCCAGCCTAGTGAACTGCACTCCATTCGTGTACAACACGCTTGGCAAGAGTTATGCTTTTGCCAACTTCTGGGACAGTGGCCCTACAACTGCTTCCGACAGTGCGCGTCTGCGCGACAGGCATTTCCTCGCCGCAAGTGTTACATCACAGAAAGTGATACATGTACATGTAATTGTGAACTGTAAATACTTTTCATCCAATTCAACTTTTAGTATGTGCTTCTCTTTGTTGAACAGCAATGGGTAACCAACTCTTCTCCTATCCATTCATTCTCCTGCTCGTATTTGTATGGTGGTTGTATACTGTATACCCATTGAATGATTAATGTACTGCAGTATCAGGTTTTGTCTGGTGATATATTCACGTCCAAATATGTTCAATTTTCACTTGAGCACACAAGGGTTGGAAGCTTAGAAACACTATACATCTATTCTTAAGGGTGTTCTCCATTGATATTTTGATTGATCTCACCTGTTCAAGACGTCCATGTCGACTTTGAGGCCGACTTTCGCATCGATTTCGGCTATTTTATAGCACTTTGAAAAATGATCCCTACCACCCAAGAGTGCATAAACAGTTTATGGACTCTTGGGGTGCGTTCTTAAATCCTCTCGGAAAAGTTGGAGACTCTCCGAAAAGTTCGAGAGCTGTTCTTATATCCTCTCCGAATTTTAGGAGGCTCTCCAAAGCTCTCGAAACTCTCCAAGCTTCAGAGGTGGTTGAAACTCGGAGATTCCCGCGGTTTCGGATCAGCGCATGCGAACTAGCAGTCCTTTCCCAAACGACCAATCCCGATATAACAGATTTCCAGGTTTTTTTGCCGGGAAACGTTCTCAAGCTTGAGAAATTTCGAATTTGTCTAGTTTTGGGGTATGTATGAAACAAGGTTATCGGCCTGGTCGAGCAGTGACGGCTTCTTCCACATCCCTTGAATTATTTCATATGAAAGGTAATCAGTTTGGCAATGCCCTGCCGCCAGGAGAATGCAAACAACGCGATAGAATGCGTCCCCGGTTTTCATGTACTCTTGTTAATATAATTGTAGTTGAGGATTTCCCTAAGACATAGTCTAAATTGAGCCGATTTCCATAATTTCCATTATAATGGGAGGCTGTAGGGTTGAGATAGCAGACAGTGGATGGTTAATGAACAGCCTAGCTAGAAAATACATAATAATTATAGGCTGAATGTTCCAGAATGGTCCTGTACTCAATAATACCTTTAGCCTCGGGGTATGCCTTGAAATACGAAATATATCGAAACGGAAACACAAAGAAGAATAAGCGCAAAGCATAAGGTGGCAGACTACCCAAAAATTCGCTGAAAAATCGAATTTGTAAATTCATATTGCGTGCCACGTCAGTTGAAAGAGCATGAATAGCTGCAAATTCGCTGAAAATTGTGTCCCGATATGACCGGCCGTTCAAGAGTTATGGCCGAAAATGTGCCCTTGCAAGGAAAGATTTTTTTGTTGCACGCTGTCATTTGTTGGCAGCACTGTATTTGAATGTGAGCAGACCGTGCGCAACTTGTCGTATCATGGAAACACTTGAAAGTGTGCAGTATTTTGCCCCAAGTCCAAAATATCAGGTTTTCGATCCACGTAGTGGGCTGCACGGCGGCGGGCGAAGCCCGCCGCCGTGCAGCAGGACTTTTGCCAGCACCCTCGTGACGTTGCAGATATGTGGCTTGATTATTGTAGTTGACGCTGATTTAGTGACTTTGGCAAGTTTGAGTCGTGTCAAGAAGTCAGGTAGGATTCAGTACTGGGCAGTAGTGAAACGTGAGTGGTAGTCTTTGCCGGTTTCTGAGGGTATCCTGGATTTGGTGTGCAGCGCTGTATAAATGGCTTGCTGTGGAGGTCCCAGCACTGGATGTTGTATCAAAGGTACGACCTCGTAGCACGTGCTAAACCTAAAATAATTCAAGAATTGACTTGGGTCTGTGGGAGTGTGTGAGAGAACGCCCACTCGTTCCGTTGTGACAGATTCCAGGGCCTCGTTGAGGGGCCCTTCCCCATCACCCATGGCTGCTTCTGGACTTGTTCTAGGTTTGGGTCCCGCGCACGAACAGAATGAGCACGAAAATGTGAAAAAATTGTAAATGCATTTGTTTGGCTCCTGGGTGGCTCGCACACCGTGGCACTATGCCGGAAATTTGAGTTTTTCCGGCCTGGAAAGTCTGTCAATGAGGCGCAAGAACTTGTAAATCATGTCCTGAGGGCCAGCATAGTGGCAGGAGTGTGTGGTCAAAATTTCACTCAAATCCATTGAGAAACACCAAAGTTACGGTCAATTGAATGCCATATGAAATTTATGGGTAGGCTGCCCCCTTAATTAAAGAAGCAGGACAGAGGCACGTCAGTGAGGTGTTGCATTTTGTTTGGTGTCAGAGAAGTGCGTGCAAATGTGACTGCGAGGCTGTGGCTCTCAGGTCTGCGGGCAAGGCATTCCAGACAGTAGCGGTGCGGAAGAGAAATGACCTCCTGGCTTGTTTCCCAACCCGTGGCAGAGTGAATGCGAGTTGCCAGCGGCGACTACGCGTGGGTCAGTATTCCGCTGCTTCAAGAAGTTCTGGTTGGGTGGTCTTGAGTGCATCTGGAGGATTCGGGAAAGCGGCTTCTGCGCTCTACACCAGAGTTGCCTGTATGCTTTTCCACCGTACTGGTCTGGATCAGGTGTTTGTTTTATTTTGTATTTGTCAAGGGTCTCTTTCTCTCTTGTCCGCTCAGCAAATGCTAGCCTTCGTAGACATCGCGCGGCCCAACCAAAATCCAACAGAGCTTTGGCTGACATTCCCGCTGTGAAATCTTTCAAGGATGGTGCTGGAGCAGAGTGGACCCTCGCATCGCCCCAATAGTACACAATGCAGGCATAGGCAAGACGGACTGGGACCCTAAACGGACACAACGATCACTGCCCAACTCACCAGTATCCTTCCCCCTCAGGCACGAAACAACACGCTCCGCTCATTTCCCCACTCCCTCATCGCAACGTGGAATCAGCTTCCACCTACCCTTCTGCAGTCTCCCCCTTCTCGCAGAGGCATGCACACGTTCAAGAAAAACGTCAACGACCACTTGCGGCGCAGCAAGTGGGAGTGGGCTATGATCTCTGCCAACACACCAGCCTAATTATACTGACCGCACTCCAGCTCCCTTCTACCCCTCTTTGATCCCCTTCGCTCAGCCTTAAAATCCGATTATCAGTTCACTCCATGTTCCTACGGTGCACTGCTTTTACTATTGTTTTGTCCTATCCCAATCTCAAATTCTCCCCATTATCGTTTGCAAAGCCGGTGCTCCCCTCTTGGATGCACATGTCTCTTGTCTCCTATGTATCGGCGCACAGGAGTAACAATGATTCCGAGACCTTTGGTCGGAGGAGTTACGTTTGCCCCGCCCCCACTTCCATCCAATATGCCACCGCCCCCGCTGTGCAGCATCTGATGGTACTGTGGTATTCAGTAAAAAAAAAAAAAAAAAAAAAAAAAAAAAACTGCGGTGCGGCGCCGTCTGCAGCGTAATCCGCAAGTGTCGGCGAGTAGACAGCACTTAGCCGCTGGTGGCGCAATAATCACTGAGTGAGGTCTGCAGGGCAACACGCAGTTCCTCGAGGAGAAGACAGCCGGCATTCAGCAGGCCGTAGTTGAACAGCGCCATATCGCCATAATAGTGGGCTAGGTCAGTGTAGGTTGACTGGACAACAAACAACAACAAAAAGCAATTTTTTTGCCAGAATTAATTTTTTTGCCCGTATAATTACTGTCTTATAGGTCATTCACACGATGTGTAAACTCACTTTTATCGTTTCCAAGGATATTTACTCGCATATTATGGTAAACTTGGACACACGCGTGCAACTGATTTTTGAACTTGGTTGGGGCCCGTGTGCTCACGACTATACCCAGAGTACAATAATTCATGTACTCTTGATTACACTTGCAAGGTGTCGGTTGTTGAAAGTGTGTACTGCAAATGCAGTGCTTATAGGCCATTCACAGGACGTGCAAACACTTGCACACGTGTGACCAAGATAACACTGGCAAACCGTGATCCACTTCACACGGTGCTGGGCAAACTTTGCACGCGTCAATGTATCCATAATCACAATGACTTCCTGAAAGTGCGGGGAAATTTAAATTTTGAATTTTCCTTTGTTCAAGCACTGCATTTGCAGTACACACTTTCAATAACCGACACTTTTGCTGTTAAAGGTCTCCCTGACACACCCACCCAAACCACACCCATTGTCATACTGTGGAAAAAAGAAGTTCTGTTGTGCATACCCAATCATGCCCAACTGCCACGCTACAAGCCAATCTTAGTTTGAAGAAGATCATGGAATTGACTTGAGTTCCAATTTGCTCCAGGCACAGTTTTTTTCTCTTGCAGTCACAAATTGCAGACATCCCCAAGTACTGTGAGTCTACAAAATCTGGTGCGTTACAATTTCAGCCTGTGTACAGGCCTGTATACACTGTACAGGCCTGTATACACTGTACAGGCCTGTATACACTGTACAGGCCTGTATACACTGTACAGGCCTGTATACACTGTACAGGCCTGTATACACTGTACAGGCCTGTATACACTGTACAGGCCTGTATACACTGTACAGGCCTGTATACACTGTACAGCCTGTATACACTGTACAGCCTGTATACACTGTACAGCCTGTATACACTGTACAGCCTGTATACACTGTACAGCCTGTATACACTGTACAGCCTGTATACACTGTACAGCCTGTATACACTGTACAGCCTGTATACACTGTACAGCCTGTATACACTGTACAGCCTGTATACACTGTACAGCCTGTATACACTGTCACACTGAACCTTGCAAAACAAAAATTAATGTTAACCTCAACAGATTCTAGGTCAAAAATAACCTAAAATCAATAATAATTATAATCAATAATTGTTGACTTCTAGTAGTTGAAATTCGCTAACTGATGCTGTCGGAAAGGTCTCACTTGTACTGTGTTATCACCTCTCTACTGTACATATTCCAATGTTCGTTTCCCTTTGCTTTTGACAAGAAGGCTTGAAAGTATACTCATGAAAAACTCAAGAAAATGTTGGTCAAGAGCCTGAAGTGCGTTCTCCTCCTTAGTATTAAAGGTCTCCCTGACACAACACAGTCATACTGACCTTTGCCTTGGGGAAGGTGACTGGGTCAACATGAATAGTGCAGTTGTAACAGAAACCGGTGACTTCGGCCAACTGAAAACAAAAGGTGGAACAGAAAAACGCCAGAATTAACTTTTTGTGTAAGCATACACCTCCATGAACACTGCTGGAATGTCTTCCTTCACACTTACTATGGAGCATCTGCACATCTATCATCATCACATGATGTCGGCCATGTTGGTTCAAGTGTCCACATGCCATGATCACTTTCTACACAAATGTAGTCACATGACCAGGATGTGAAACTGCTCTACAGGTGGTAACATGTCCACACTTGTGCAAACGGGTGATGTTTGCGACAAGAAATGTTTGCGTTTTAGAAATTCGGACAGGTTAGCACTGTTGAATGTTTGAGATTGAACACATCACGACTGAATGCTTCACATTATGGTGTGCAGGGGTGATTGGGGGCTGCTGCCTGTATACACTGTCACACGAAATCCCGAAATTTTTGCAAATCCACTACTGTAAGACATGTATATATAACGAGGAAGTAAATCTAACGTTTTAACGGATGACATTTCTTCGTTATAATAAGATCCGTTGAGGCCATACTGCTTCATATGTTGTGTGTGCATAAGCCGAAATACTGCAAGATCGTTAACATATCTTCTCGTTAACCTTTGAATTTTGGACAATCGTTAACTTTGCGACTCGTTATAATAACATGTCTTACAGGACTGGAAACATACTCATGTACATGTACCAGCTATTCAGTTTTGGCTCCGAGCAACTGGAACCCCCTCCCCTGCAGTGATTTCTGTATTTGCCCCTGGTGTGTTCATGACGTGAATGCTTACCATGGTGGCAACCTTGGTCTCCACGTCTGTCATGTTGTTGCCAAGCGACGCGAAGGGCGAAGTGTAGTGACGCGTGCCTTCGGCGTTCAGAAGAACTTCGTAGCCGGCAGCCTTCTCGTAGTACTGTCGGTCAAGGGTCGTCTTCAAGGCGAACATGGACAGTTGGAAGTGATCGAACTTAGTTGGCTGCACGGGTTTGGGAAAAACACAAACACAAAAGAGACACAAGATTATTTAGTAGCAGTTCATGGACATCTGGAGGGGGATGACGTGAGGGGCCGCAATGTAATTTTGTTTAGCTAATGTCCGTAAGCACACAGGCATGGTAAATGTTGGTGACCATAAGCTCACAGGCAGAGGTATTTGCTAGAATTGATTGAGGACCATCAGCCATGAACGCCAAGCAGGACTGTACCAAGAAATCAATAAACAGCAAGCTTCAGAACACAAAAGCCGCGTTTAATACGAAATACAAGCCATCTCTTTCATTCCGAATAAAATTTGCCCCGAGAGAGCCCAACTGCAGTTGACCGGGTCCGGGGCACCAGAATCTCAAAGCACATGCCACACGGTGTGTGCAAGTATTACATGAAGTCGTGGCAGCGACTCGGAATTGCTTTATCGACTGAAGTGAAGTGTAAAGTTAAGCCGGTGGAAAAAGGCACGAGCTTGAGTGCCGCAAACAACAAATCTTCTTGTATGCATTCCTAAGTTCTAGAAGCTCCAATGAAAAGCAGAAACAAAGTGCAGCACTTACTTGGGGCACTGGTAGCATAATGGAACCCGGCGGGTAAGCGACATCAATATTGCCGCCAGCATCCTGAGAATCAGGAATTGAAAAGACCAGAACAAAGCAGTATTTGGACAAGTCCACAGCAACAGCACGTTCTTTTTTTCTCTGTACGGTGCCCCAAAAGAGTGCTTGTACAATCCCCCAGTGCTATGACGGCAGAGCTCCACATCACATGACATCATTCAAGAGAGTGGCGTTCACATCAGTTTGTCACGTGACTACATTTGTGCAGAAAGCGACCATGGCATGTGCATATGTGGACATTGGAAGCCGGCATGGCCGATATCATGTGACCCATAGATGCAGGGGTTGAGTGGAGTTGTCAGTTGGAAGCCAACATGGCTGCCCTGTATGGTCATGTGATAGATGTGAAACCACTCTGTTCCCAAGGCCATATGTGGGTAAAAAAAACCAGTGCAAAGTGATCAGCAGGGAGCTTTACCCAAACAAAGCAGGCTTGCTTACAACCCTGTACCCAACCCTGTACCCTTCAAGCACAGGGTGCGCATCAGCTAGAGAGTCGTCGAATACAGGTATTTATTTATTTATTTATTCAACATCTTATGGCTTCCGATGGCAGCCAAAACGGGAAGATGTGGGTGTATTTGACGAACCCCTGAGTTGCACAGACATGTATATACACTTTAGAAATGCAGGTTCAAAGGTCAAGGCCAGTGCATTGAAAGATAGAACCCTGTAGCATGCTATTATAATTATTATCGATGTGAGAATACTCCTTTGCATGCAGTTCACACCTGAAACACGCCAAGTCCCGTGGTACCATTATTAGATACTCGTCTGGTCACGTGATAGATTTGAAGCAGGGAGTAGTACAATACCGTTATTAGGGACCTTTCGCACCCCGCGTACGGATACGAAACGAATGCTGATTCGTCACCTGGGTTCGAGGATTCGTCAGAGTCCCTGCGGAGAACTCATTTTCACGAATTGAAGCCTCTTCATTCGTGGCACGCTCCGAATCCGTCAGGTACACATTTATTTGGATAGGTACACATGTTTTGCAAGGTACACATTTTTCCCTTGATTCCATGATCCATGCACGTGTGCGTGTAAAAACCCGTACGCCAAGCTACCGGCGCCCGCGGCCGTATTCGTAGTTGCCATGCACATTTGCATGACGACTTGCGAAACCTGAAATCTGTTTTCAACGAAACGATTACGAGCCGAATCAAACTTTCGTTTCGCATTCGTTTCGTAGCAAATGCGAAAGGTCCCTATTGTACTACTAGAACTCCCAAAAAAACTCTTGCTACAAAAAAAACTCTTGCTACAAAAAAAAAACTCTTGCTACAAAAAAAAAACTCTTGCTACAAAAAAAAACTCTTGCTACAAAAAAAAACTCTTGCTTCCAAAAAAAACTCTTGCTTCAAAAAAAAAAAAACTCTTGCTTCAAAAAAAAAAACTCTTGCTTCAAAAAAAAAAACTCTTGCTACAAAAAAAACTCTTGCTACAAAAAAAACTCTTGCTACAAAAAAACTACTTCCTGATTTGAAGCAACTCTATTCTCAGACTGCACACACTTCGAAGTACACGGTTGCGCTCCGTGAAATTCGACCCTTATTTGGAGCCCTCAACTTGCATGGCCCGTGACGCCCTGGAAGTGGCACGAATGCGGCTGGACGTACACGTATACACATGCACAAATACAGTGATGGAATCGGAAAAAGGTCCAGGGCGCCTGCTTTGCACTTTGGGCCGGATTTCACCGAGCGCAACTAACTACCCAGTTACAATACAGCTACATCAGGACATCACTCCTTCTCTGATAAAGACCGATATACATCATTCCCTCACTAGTGGGACCATTGTTATTAGGCTAGGGCCTGTTTTGGACTTCCCACTCTAAATAAAGAATACAAACAAACAAACAACCGTAATCGTGATTGCAATTCTATACATGCACTGTGCCATGGGAACCGAGGACAATATTGTGCCGGACAAACGTCTTAAGCCTGGTTCACATTAGGCCGATTTTCCGGCCGGTGCTCCGACACCGACATCGACATGGAGTCTGCCGACTGTGTCGACTGAGTCGGACGGCCTGTTCACACACGGGAACGACTCACTCGCAATAGAGTCGCATCGATTATCCATAAAAGCAATGTACTCTTGATAAAAGCAAGAGTTCATGGGGATTATGAAATTTTGGTAGGACTTTACATTTCATCAAGAGTACAAAGTACAAGAGGCCATGAGCTCGACATCGACGCTCTTTGCTGTCATGGTGAAAAGCGTACCGTGATTGGTCCGAATCCCGCTCCATCACGTGCAAGCAGTAAAAATCGGCCGGCTTTTCGGCTAAATATCGACCAGTCGATACTTGGCCGAAAACTAGTGCGACAAGAAAATCGCCGCAGATTTGTCGGAACCCTGTACGACAACACCGTTCACACTACGCAATTTTCGCCCCGATCTTGAGGATTTTTCGTACGAGTCCATGTCGGCCGGAAAATCGGCCTAGTGTGAACCAGGCTTTAGTGAAAATGCAATCGTACAAATTTACATGGTGAATCTGTGCATTAATATTTCCTTACAGCTTTGGTCAACGTTTGATCTGACAGTTCTGCCCGTTTTGGTGTACGAACTAATTACGTACATTGTGATCATGCACAAGAGAAGCGATCGCGCCCACTGCAACGAGCGCCCCGACAACACTGCACGTACATACAGTAGCAAGCACAATCCCACATCAAGATCGACATACCTTCTTGAACTGGTCGCGGGCACTGCAGGCCAGTGTCTTCACCTGCGATGTTGGCGTGTAGGCAAGGCTAGTCAGCTGGCACAGGTTGAGCTTCGCCGAAGATACCAAGCCAAACAGGCCCACAAGCACAACGGCCAAAGGCAGCAGCACGGACCTTGAAACGGCCATGACGGAAAATAACAGGGAAGCAATCTAAACGTCACTTCAGAGTTTCTGGTAAGGTCACAGTGGAGGATTTTCTAACACTGATTGAGAACCAACTGTGCTCCAAGACCTTGCCTTTTAATATTAGTAACAACGAAAAGGGCGCAATTGGCTTGGCAAGACAAAAGCTAGCTGTGCAGTTGGAGTCTGCTGAAGCCGTTGGACGCGCGCAATAAGCCTTTTGCGCGTTGTACAGATGTACGAAGTTCAGTGCTAGGGCGTAGGTGTGTACAGAACCGATTGGGTGTTCATTGTGTGCTATGCATGCACATTTGACCAATTTTAGCCTCATAACTAAGGGCAAACAATCCCTATTCCAGCTTCTTCAATTTGGTTAGAACTAATGACTAGCTAGATCTTTGTCAGAAAAGGTTTTCGTTTGAAATGCCTTCAGGGCCCATTTCTTAGTGGAAATAGCAGAAAACACAATAGGGTCCTGCACATTGAACACCCATTAGGTTCTACGGGATTCTACGGGATTTCGTGCATCTGTACAACGCGCAAAAGGCTTATACGTTTGTTCCGCGCGCGTCTGCTCGCGCCGAATGATCATTCCCCGCTAGACGTTTCAACTCGGGTCAGATTTCAACCCGCCATGTACACAAAATGAATGGCGCGTTTATATGACGCATTGCGCTTGACCCTGGTTGATTTCAACCCTCCTCCCCCAAGGGGAGGGTTGAAATCGTACAAACGTACTTCTGTGCGTATCTCGCGCCAGGTTTGAACAGCACTGTACATGCAAATTTCGCGCGAACAGATTCACGTGACTATACGGAACTGTAGATTCGTGTAGAAGTAGACTTGTAGAAGTAGACTTTTGGCGGCATTTCAGTATTTGACCCGGGTCAACTGTCTTCATGTAAACCCTCACCTATTTTGTCTATCGTACATACTTTCAACCCGGGTTGAAATTTCTCATGTAAACACAGCCTGAAGTTGCGTGCCGGCAAAGCAAGAATGGACCTTATGCCATTTGTACAGATCCACGGAATCCCGTAGACCCGGTAGGGTGTTGAATGTGCAGGACCCTATTGTGTTTTCTGCTATTTCCATTAAGAAATGGGGCCTGAAGGCATTTCATACGAAAACTTTTTTCTGACAAAGATCTAGCTAGTCATTAGTTCTAACCAAAGTGAAGAAGCTGGAAAAGCGATTGCTGGTCATTGAATTATGACGCTCAAAAGGACAAATGCGCATGCATAGCACACAATGAACACCCTACGGGGTCTACGGGATTTTGTGGATCTGTACAAATGGCATAAGGTCGATTACGATCTGCAATCTGTTTGTAGTACCAGCAAGAATGGGGCTGTTAAGTGTGACGTCACGGCCCCTTCGATACGCATAGCAACGGAGAGTTGTTGTTTTCTTTATTTGAATTCGCTAAAACCAAACGGACAGAACTGTCCAGTGACAAGGGAGCGAATGATGAGTGTCATAATCACTATGCATCAAAACATCTCAGGACAAAATGAGACAGACTATATTGAGGGAGGGTCTGCACAACACTTTTACATAAAGGGGAGTACGAGAACAAAGGCGCGGCAGAAGTCGAAGCAAGAAAGCAATCAACGCCAGAGATATTTTTGTCCACCAAAAACAGAGAGAGAGAGAGAGAGAGAGAGAGAGAGAGAGAGAGAGATAGAGAGAGAGAGAGAGAGAGAGAGAGATCCGAGAGCGAGAGAGAGACAGAGAGACTAACATATGAAGGCTGAGCCTCTACAACAGGGCTTTACGTCTGAAAACAACCGCACGAATTAACAAGCAAGTTGTCAGAGAACAGGGAGAGAGACGGGCAGGCAGGCCAGCAGGCAGGCATATAATGAAAATATGGCGATAGTGATCCGTCTGACCTCAAGGGTTCATGCTGTGTGGAACAGCAGCAGTGCGAAATTGGGCCGGGTGCGGTATGGCCCGCACCTCGCTGGGCAACGCATTCCAGAGCCTAGCTCCTTGGAACGCGAGACAACCCTTACCCAGCTCAGTGCGGGTTGGCGGTGGTCTTAGACCCATAGATAATTGCAGCCGAGTAGGAGCGCCACTGGTTGGTAGCAACAGCACTTGCAGTGTGGGGCTAGCACGGGAGTAGCGGCAGCGCCAAACCAGGAAGATGAGCTTCTGGATGAAGATCTCCCGGACACGGTAGGCGCCGAGTTGGACTAGCAGGTTTCTGGCAGAGGTGCGCGGCGAGCATCCGTACACAGCTCGAGCCGCACGATTCTGCAGAACTTGGAGGCGGTCCAGGTGCTTACCCGCCAGCGATGCTGAGAAGGCATTGGAGCCATATGAGAAATCAGGCATTATCACAGACTTGAAGTACTGGATGCGGCTTTGCATGCTGAGGCAGCGGCGCATCCGCCACAGCACGCCGACTTTCTTGTTGAGGCGGGCAACGCACCTATCCATCTGGGTGTTCCAAGACATGGCGCTGTCAATGTGAACTCCGAGGTAGCGAGCAGAAGAGACAGATGGCAGCTTAGTCGCATGACACCATACGTCCAGTTCAGTTTGCGCTTCTAGCTTCCCAGCCGGTACTCCCAATGCCTGACTTTTTGATGCATTAAGGATCAAACCTCGCTGCTTCAGCCAGTCAGCAATGCATGTCACTGCTCTGGAGAGAGTGGCGGTCAGTTCCTGTTGTGTTGGGCGACTGCAGGTCAGTGCGATGTCATCTGCGAACTGGATGGACTCAGCTTGCTGGGCAACAGATGGTATGTCCCGGGTGTAAAGGCTGAACAGCAGTGGACCTAATACCGACCCCTGTGGTACTCCACAGGAGCAGGCTGCCACTGTGCTAAGCTGGGATCCCAGCTGGACAATCTGGCAGCGATCAGACAAGTATGACATGAGCCACTGGAGCGCTGTTCCAGTGACGCCCACACAGAAGAGATCTTCGACTAGTTGCTGGTGGCGAACCTTGTCGAACGCCTTCGACATATCCAGGAGGACCACACCCGTGAACATGCGGCGGTCTCTTGAAGCGAGGATCCTGTTGACCATCAACACAAGGGCATCCTCCGTGGAATTTCCTGTCCGGAATGCAAACTGTGTGCTGGGCAGAGAACCAGCCATATCCAGAAAGGTGACAAGTGCCTTCTGCACCACCTTCTCTAGCAGCTTCGAGAGAATTGGGAGCAGGGACACAGGACGGAAATTGTTGGCGACAGATGGATCGCCAGCCTTGTGCAATGGGGTCACATACGCACGCTTAAAGCCAGCGGGTACAGTGCCGGAGGTCAGGGACGCATTGAAAAGTGCTGCAACTGATGGTGCTAGCAGGTCGGCACAGTACTTTAGAAGTAAGCCTGGGATGCCGTCGCTCCCGGTTGCTTTGCGCGGGTCGATGCGCTTCAAAAGCTGTTCAGCATCGCAGACACGCACATGTTGGAATGAGGTCAGGGCAGACCGAGGCTGTGGACCCTGAGGCATAGAGAGCACTGAAGGTCAAGCATCATCAGAGACTACCTTGCCAAACGTGGACGCAACATGTTCGATGTCGCATGTCGGCTGGATTGATTGTCTCTTGCGTCCAGTCACAGTATTTAGGACTGACCATAACTTGCGTGGGTTCTGGCAATTTTCTTGGCACTGACCTTGGAAGTACTGGTTGCGTTTGCACCTGTTTGTATTCGCAGCAACCGAGCGGGCACGTCTATATGCTGTGTGAGCTTCAGAGTTGGCTTTGTCAGCAAGCCACTTTCGATGCAGGCGACGCTTCAGCTAGTTTATCTTGTATAGCTCTCTGTCAGACCATGGAGGATGGAGCTTGCCTGTCTTAATCTTGCATTGCTGCAATGGCGCATGCCTGTCGAGGACAGAAAGGAATCGTTGATGCCAGTGGTCCCACATGGCTTGCACATCAGAGTCTGGTGGGTACACATGAAGTTCAGCAGCAGCTAGGTCAAGTCGGAAGGCAACCAAGTCAATGTTATCTAAACGGCGACGCACACGCTGCTTGGGGATGTCTGGCCGGGCATGTCTTGCATTGAAGGTTGCTTCAACTCCAAAGTGGTCACTGAGTGTAAGCGGCAGGACTCGGCAATCATACAAATCCTTATCCTCTGTTGTCAGTATCAAGTCAATAGTAGTGCCAGCTGGACACCGAGGTGAGACTCGCGTAACGGAGTGGACGATATTAGTGAGGCCATATGCACCACAGAGATCCAGAAGTGGCTGGGCATGCTGTGGCTGGGAATGCGAGATATTGACATTGAAGTCACCCATCAATGTGACGGCTGAGGTAACCATAGCAGCTTGATGCAGCGATGCCTCAAGGGTGGACCAGTAGGAGACTGGCGCATCTGGTGGTCGGTATATGCAGCCAATTAAGTGATTGCCTGCCTTTCCATTTAGCTCAACCCACACTACCTCCGTGTCCCCTTGGTTGAGATCCGGCCGTGGTTTGATGGGCAAGTAGGACCGGTAAAAAATACAGACGCCACCTCCTTTTCTCCCCTTTCGGTCATTTCTCACCAAACTGTATCCTTCAATGTTCAGTTCTCCATCAGCTATAGACGCGTCCAGCCATGTCTCCGCAATCCCAACAACATCCCATGTCCTTTCCCTAATCAGAGCGGACAGAGTGTCTATCTTGTAGCGCAGGCTGCAGATGTTAAGGAATCCAATGGTGGTATGTGTTGAATGAGATTGTGGCAGTCTGTTAATAGATACGGTAGCAGCCTGAGGGTAGAACTCCCGCGCAACTGGATTTAGCTTACTCATTGAGAGCTAGATGAAGGTTGCATTTTGCATGGTATTCCCGACATGGATCCAGGGGAATCTTCTGCATGACGCTTTCCAGGGCGAGGTGGCGTGGCTTTGGCTGGAGCAGACGCAGTTGACGTATCTTGAAGCTTGGGCTGGTGCTGGCCACTGTCCTGCTGGACATCACTAGATGCAGGGCTTTGGCTGTCATTAGACGCAGGGCATTGGCTGTCACTGGACGCAGGGCATTGGCTGTCATTAGACGCAGGGCATTGGCTGTCACTGGATGCAGGGCATTGGCTGTCACTAGATGCAGTATGCAGGTTCTGCTGTTCTGTCTGCAAATGCTGGTGCTCTTCAGGTGTAGATTCCTGATGCTGATTTTCCTGTGTCTTCTGGTGCTCCTCCTGCTGTTTCTTCTGCTGCTGCTGGTCTGCTGTGTTTCTCTGTTCAAGACTTAGTGTAGATTCCTGGTGCTGATTTTCCTGTGTCTTCTGCTGTTGCTCCTGTTGTTGCTTGTCTGCTGCGTTTCTCTGGTCATCACGAAAAACCCATGGGCGTGCATAAACAGGCCTGGGCCAGAAGTTTGGCTGTGTGAGGGCTTCAACTGAGGCTCGGCTGATCGTCACACGAGCACCGACCTTGCCATCAGCCTTGCTGATCAGTTTGCTACTAAATATCGTGAGCTGCTGATTGGCTGTCAGGGCACGTTGTTGGATAAAGGATTCCAGTTGCTCAATGCTAATAGCTGGGCGCAGGTTTCCAATCCAAATGAGAGCACTGGGGACAAACAAAAGTCGCGTCCTCTGGATGGAACCAGTTGTCAAAGGCAACAGCATCTAAATGACTGGAGAGAGAGCAGTTTTTCTTTGCTTTTTCTTCAAGCGATTGTTGTCGCTCTTTACTCCTTGTTCTTTCTTCTACGAATCTCCTGTAGTCGTCGAGGGCCTTCATAATGGCTGTGAAATTGGCTGCCCACTGTAAAACTCCGTGTTTGAGAGTCCTTTGAAGATTCTTCCCGTCCTGATGGATCAAAGTACGAGCGCTCCCTGTGGATTCGATTATAATAATTATTATGTAGGTGAGTTGTTCAAGAAATCAGTGTCTTCTTTCTGTCTCTGCCCTCACGCTGGCACAATAATATCAGCCTCTATATCCATGACAGCTCGCACCTCCCGTAAACTGCATGACTTAGATATATTCTCGCCCTCCGTGGTGATTGAAGACCCATGGAAGAAGTTATTATGTTCAGAATGATGTCCTGAGAATATATTAAAATAAAATAATTCTAGGAAATTGTTACAGGGTATTTTGGAAGGATGGAGAGAGAGAGAGAGAGAGCAGTGAAGTGTTTGTCTCACTGTAATTACTCCAGATTATTGAATGGTGTATGATCTACTCGATATTTTCCGCAATGGGTTTTCCTGATTTGCGGGATCTCTTCTTTTGCTGTTTGCGTGTTTACAGGAAGTGACTGTCTGGTGTATCTGCACCACATCCTGGGGACATGAAGTCAGAGGCAGGGTCGTCCAGTGATGCAACACTGCCGTTCTATGTGCAACGTCACCGCTAATTCCCCCCGCGAAAACACAAAAAGACAAACACGTCAAGAGACTACAGTATTGACCGTTCTGTTAATGAATCGCGACTGCTCGGACAGTCGATAATCAAAACACAGAGCACCAGCATGATGTTTTGATATTGGGAACCACACACCAGCTCAATTCTCAAGCCCAAAAATTGATGAATACAAAACACAGAGCGACGCAACAAGAGATCATCCGGCAACCAAACCAACCTGGGTCTAATGCACTGAATAGTCTTGAAATACGCAGGCCACACAAAGCAGTGCAAGCACATACTGTTACAAGGTACATGCGTTGCAGAACAAAGTGTCACCAAAGATACACAGGGCTATAGCTGCACACTCATGCATGTGCTCGCTCAGCCCAAGAACACGCATGATGATAGAAATAATCCGGGGGAAACACGCTAGCACCGAAGTAAGCATCAAGACGTAAATAGTCATCACCACAAGCCCATAGCCCTAAGGTCGTCGGGGCGTCACAGAGCAAGTATGAACAAGTGAGCGCCATAAAAATCGATCGCGTGCAGCAGCGAGCAGGGACTGCACGTCAAGTGCAGTCCATGAAATAATATTATCAAGCCATGACATTCTGGGCCTGCCTCGGCAACGACCTCCAGCAACACAACCCTGAAGAACAGTCAATGACAAACAGCCGGAACGAACAATATGACCAAAAAATTGCAATTTCCTTTTACGAACAGAAACAATAAGTGGGACTTGTTTGTGAATACTATTTATTTCCTCTCTAACAGACACATTCGTCCGTAAATAGTGCAGCTCTGAAAGAGTAAAAAATTACATTGACATGTACATTGGTGTGCCGAGTAGTATCGTCCTTGATTACCCATCCAACCAAGACGTTATCAGGTCCCAGACGCCGAGATCGCACGCCGAATGTGAAGTGCATCTAGCCTTGAACCTGTTGCACAAGGCACACACATATGACAAAAATGACATCCACTCCGATTATTTCCAGAGGCCAATCATAACAGAACACAGAAATGAAACCACGTGCTCAACAAAGTACATGTAAACGCAAAGGAAATAATTAGTTAAAATAATCCATGAAGTGCTATTTTAATTCCAGCGCTGACTGCAGTGTGGCGTCGTGGCCCAATACCCGCTGAGCATAGACACAAACTCCATTTCACAGGGGCAAGACATACTATTTTGGAATAAAGCCATAAAGTACAGCACTCTAATGACATAACGGACACCTCGTGCAAATGCGTGGTCTGGTCATCCGGCCAACTCGGCCACGCATGAGAGTGTGTGCATGTACGCGCGCACGCAAGCGCGCGCGTGCACACACACCATGTGTTTGGTGCGTATGGCGTACCTGTTGCGGAGATATGAAGATGGAATCATCAGTATCATGATGTTACATGTACATGTACAGTGAGTGTAAAGTGTAAAGTAAATTATATTTTATTACACATTTCTTCGACACAACTTACTCCACATCTTCGCATTTCTCATAATCCATCCACCTACACTCCGTCTCAGTTGAGGAAAACTCTCCCAGGTACAGGTATACAATAGTCACCACAGCCATGTGATGACATTGGGATGGGTCCCAAGCACGATTGCACTCTCCAGTTACAATATAATTTATTTGTCCAGATTATCTGTGCAGACAAAATGCAATGCATAGCGGCAATCGATGGATGAAGAGAGAGTTTGTAAATACACATATCTGTCCACTTGTTCAGGAGCTTACCTTTTGGAGTTCCCATCGTTTACACGATCTCTTATGCTGTCTTGCACCTTGGCTTTGTTGACCATGGATACGCCATCCCAGAAGACATTCTACAGGAGCTACTAATGCAGAGCGTTTTTCACGCTCGATCTCGGCGATCTACCTCGTCACGCCAATAAAATCCTCCGTGACACTGGCTACAGTCACAAGAGACGTCTCAGTAAGGTAATGAGCACGACAACACCGTCGAGATCAAGGACAAAGAGAAAACAAAACACTCACTGAAAACAGCAAAGAAGAAACGAAGAAATGTACACGATTCCTATATGTTGCCACTGACAACTGGTTCGGTGGAGACGACGCTACTTTTGTTTGTCCCCAGTGGGATCGTTGCTATGCGTATCGAAGGAACTGTGACGCCATCACTTAACAGCCCCATGTGCTGTACCTGTACCGTATTTCCTCTGTTGCTGTTTCAGTTGCCGTCATGTAATAAAGTTATTATTATTATAATAATGTAAATAGGCGTCGAGGCGACAATAGTTTTAGAATTGCGATCAACAGAACGAGCTGAACCGTCATTTCACAAAGGCTTTTATTGTATTAAAAAAACGGGTGGATACGAAGGCAGTGAAGAACATGGAAGAAAGAAGAAATGTGATATGGAAGAAATGATGAACAAAAAATCTTAATTCGAACTAGTTTCGCAACACACTAGGGCTTGGCGGTTAATGCTGGCAGAAAAATTGGCAGAATTAAGTACATTTTCTGGTAATTTTATGCATGTTTGGTATGTGGATAAAGATATGGAGCAGAATTCGAGGAATTGCCCGCCATAAGGTTTGTATGGTTCTGCCAGTTTCGGTGCAAAAAAAGCAGAATCTGCCACCTTTTCGAGCATTATCCGCCAAGGCCTACAACACACTCCTCAGCTAGGATTATCATTTTCATAGGTGTTGTTTCTTCTCACTCCATTTCTCTTTATTTGTATCTTTCTGGATTGTTTTTCATTAGTACAACGTAGCTTCCTGAGGATTGTTGTGCGAAAACTAGTTCGAAGTAAGATTTTTTGTTCATCATTAATTTTCTTCCATACCACATTTTTTCTTTCTTCCATGCTCTTCACTGCCTTCGTATCCACTCGTTTTTTGAATACAATAAAAGCCTTTGTGAAATGTCGGTTCAGCTTGTTCTGTTGATCGCAATTCTAAAATTATTATTACTATTATTATTATGTTGCTAAAGAAAGGTTCAGCGACTCATTTGTTTCATACGAGATGAGTCAATAAGTCGGTCTGGCTTAGAATCTTTTGCTGTAAGTAGAAAAAATCTATTCGTATCTCCATTGGAGAAATATTTGTATTCAATGGATATAAAATAGGGTTAAGACAAACTCACAGAACAAATACCATCACTGCATCAGTCCCTTGGTGTTCGTCCTAAAGAGGTTTGACTGGATATCTTTCATACTCACCAAAGATGTGTAACATTTTATTATTATGGAGTGCCTTGTTTATCTCTCAGTGCCTCCAACCATAGCCTAGCCCCCTATACCCTCGGGATCAGTGTAGTTGTTGGAACGAGGTGTTCCACTCAACAATGTATTTGTTTACATTCTAATACATGTTTATTGTTCATCGTTTGCTGTGTTGTTTTAGACATTCGTGGACTAACACTTTGAAGTCATTAAACTACATGTACTTCCAAAAGTTGTATCAACATCAACAGGATTACGGTTTCCGTGCAATATGATGCAAGATGACCTTTTCACGACAACCCATGACTATAATCAAGAGTACATAACCCCCTGTACTCTTGCTATAATTATAAACACAGAATCAACAGAGACATGTGCGACACGTACCTGGTTACATTTCTCAAGTAAATCTGATTGAGGGTGTGGAAATCTGAAATATCGGAAAGGCAAGACAATTTTATGACAGTCATGAAATTCTGCAACATCCACAGAATGACCTGCGTATGAAAAACGTATCACCACCACTACCCACATGTTCCCCCCTCAGCTCAGAAGAACATGATCATGCAAGTGCCATTTTCTGCAAGAAAAGGCTTGCACATCAATGCGTATATCGGTAGTACGGTATTGATTATGATGGAGCTGGAGAGGCCATCATTTAGGGCATTCCATTGCATGATTTGTGACATAAAAAACTAAAGAAATTATAGCAATAAAAACTGCTTTATGGCAGTTTTCTAAAAAAAGGTATTGTGTTCTAGTCCATGGACCCCGTCTAAAAAGTAAGAAATTAACGAAATGTGATAGCCGAAAATTAAAATGTCACACAAAACCTCACAATAATCACAACACTTCGTGCTTTGTATAATAGAGAGGTGAAGTTTCACAACACTTGTCTTGAAATGCTGCTTTCAACACTAAACATGCATGCATGGGAAAGAGTATCACGAGGGGAAAAGGTACATAATGTATTCTAGCTTTTCATTCTGTGTGTGATTATTGTGAGGTTTTGTGTGAAATTTTAATTCTCGGCTATCACATTTCGTTAATTTCTTACTTTTTAGACGGGGTCCAT